TGTCCCTAGCGAGTGGAAAACCACACCAAGGTATCTAAATGTTCTAACCTGTTCCAAACTATATCCTTCTATTAGCCAAGAGTATTGGCTTGGTCTTTTAGCAAAAACTAGATTTTTTGATTGGATGTGAGGGCAATCTGGCTGCGATATCTGTCACCCAGGGTTGACCGCCAGGGTTGATTCGGCTGATCTGGCTGGCTAGGCGGGTGTCCACTTCCTCCCTCACCGCTCCATGTGCCTCCCTCCCGAAGCTGTACGCTCGGTGGAAGAGGACAACCATCCCAGATAGGAGTGTACCGATCTTCGGTCAAGGGTATACGATAGCTGCGCTCGCCTTCTAGAACCTCCAAACAAGCACATATTTGTGCAATTTAGTACAGCTTAGTGAGCACCAAAAAAGGTAAATAAAATCCACATTTTTCTTTCCACCCCTGTCAATCTGTGTAATTTCTCTGCCATGGGTGATATATGAGCTGCCAGCGGTTAATGCTCAGAAGCAATTATCAGCTTCCTATCAGCCTAAGCCAGAGCTTCTGCTTTCCTAAAAGCTAGGAACCAGCAAGCAATAACAGAAACATTGTTAGATTAAAAGTGACAACAATCAGTAGACAGGGACCAAAGGTGCTGGAAGATGAAAGGCCACTCTGTCCAGGAGGAAAGCTTTGTGACTACAGTCAGATTGATGATAGCAGATTGTAGCTTTTAAAAAAATCTTCCTCCCTCCCGCAAAAGGAGGTTATCAACAATTTCAGAAAGCTTCGTATCATCAAGCTGCTATAAACTAAACATGTATGGCCTTTTTCAATCTCCCCCTGACTCTATGCACAAAGAATAATTTCAGCCAGATTTGCTATATTAAAAATAATCTAGCCTACCATTAGACAATTACAAAATTAACATACTTTTATATTTTAATCAGGTATGAAGCTCTACAGAGAACGTTTTCAAAATAAAATATAATCTAGTATGAAATATATTAATTAGCAATATGAATACTCACCAATTCTTTTCTAAGTTGAATGAAAAATTGCTTGCACTTAAAAGAAATTTTTATGATTTTCAACCTAAATGAAATAAAAATCACAATAAGCTAATCATTTCTTCAGATGTATTAATTGGACACAGATGGTAACAGTATTCAACATTTACAAGACAAATATCCATCATTTCATTTACCTGTCTAAATCTTTTCCAACTTAAATTTTATTACTATAGCACTATACCTCAAAGACTATTTTACTACCAGAAAAACTTCAATTTCTTGTATTTATTTATTTATTTATTTGTTCATTCATTCATTTTATATGGGCTGATCATCTCTTGATTATGTTTATCAAGATATAAATTATTTCTACATACAAAAGCTATGAATGCAGGAAATAGTTAACATATGCACATATTGAATTTAAATTTGTGCTGTTAGTACCTTCACTCATTCATTCACTGCCATATTGATTACATAAGCTGAATGTTACATGTAAGAGGGAGAGTTTGGACATTATTCTCTGTGATTTAACAGCCAAGATTGACAGGCCTGCTCTCCTTCCCACAGCCTTCTCTGCCCCTCCTGGGTTTATTGAAAGAAAGAAGGTGACTTTACTTGCATTGTACTAAGAATGTTATTGGTCATCAAAGAACCGAAAACACTGGAGAGAAGGTGGCATATTCGCTCTACTGTAGCTCATTATTATCATTGGAAAATACCATTCTGATGCATGAAAAACAGGGGGAAACAAAATCATTCAAACTCATCTTAATCATGAGCAAAGAAATATTTTTTGAAGTTACATAATCTCTAATACCATAGGTCTTTATTGGGTCAATAACTGGAGTACATAATTAAGCAGAGATGAGGATGGTATAGTTATTCTAGCCCTGCTTGAACTCTTAATATCATCAATCATGGTAGCCTTCTAAACCAGATAACAGGGTTGGGAATGGGAGACATTGTTCATCAGTGGTTCTTCTCCTTCCTCCAAGGTCAATTCTAACTGGTGTTTGGGGGAGGGGGAATAGTGAGGGGAGAAGTCCAGTTTTAGGCCCTTGGTCTGTCAAGTACAGTAGGGCTCAACTCTCCCTGTTTCTATTTAACATTTACAAGAAACTGCTGGGTGAGGTCATTTGTTGGCACAGAGCTAAGTATCATTACTATACATTGGTGTCTTTCCAATGCCTGGAGGCTGTACTGGCCTGGATGGGAAAGAATTAGTTTCAGCTCAACCCTAATGAGATTATGGCTGTGGGTTTTAGGATCCCTCATATCTGATGATCAGACATCTTTAACTTTGGTTGAGGTATTGAGGCAACATTCCCCCAGTCAGAGATAATGTGTAATCTGGAGGTTCTCCAGGAACCTTGGTTCCTACTCAAAGAGAAAAAACATACATGCGTGCCCATCTGCACCCTATAAATCTTCCCAGGTAGATTGGCCAGGAAATATAGCCAGATAAATTAGTTCTACTTTATTGTAAGACTACATTAATAGAATCTTAATATAGAATAGAAAGTCTGAAAGTAAAAATCTCTTGTTCTTTCCTTTACAGCATGAAAAGCTAGGGAGAATTACTTCTGAACCTCTTTCTCAGCCCATTATACAGCTGCTAGCTATATCCTCTCTTATCTGTTTTCTGGGCAGCATTTCTTCGTCCTGTCTCTCAAGGTTTGTCCTCACATATAATTACAGGTCCTTTCCTAGATCAAAGGACACTGGTGACAACCACTAATACCTTGCAATGAGCTTTGCATGAGTTTGTCCTTAAAGAACATTTGGAAACTGCAATTGGTCAGGAAGGCATGATATTGAATGCTGGTTAAAAACGTGTTCAACATGTTTTATCCCCCAAAAAATTAGTATAAACCCTGCAGCATGTAGTATAAAAATATACTATATATTTTATACTATATACGAAAAGGTGACCAACTTAGATCTTATATATACTTAAAAATGAAAGTTATCACTCTGTAATATTGGTGGTTTAACAACTACTCATCCAGTGAAGGTTTGAATACTGACTACACTAATGAGTCTTAGTTATGATCAGTCATGCAGTTATAGCCACTGCAGTACCCTGAAGTCATGTTATTTACAAGTTGTAACCCACGGGTGTCAAACTCACCGTGTCACGTTGCTATCGCGTGATTTATTGCAACTTGCCCCCCTTCATGGAGTTGGGGTGGGCTGTGTGTGACGCATCCGGCCTATAGGCCACCAGTTTGACACCCCTGTTGTAACCTTTCCTGCAGCCCTCTGACGAATGAAGTCAACAAAAAAGGTGGCAGGATGTTGCAAATTGAGGTTACATGAAGTCCTTGCTTATGACCATATGTCCCTTAATGATGGAGTTCTAGTCCTATTTAGTTTCATTCAGTGAGGAATATCTGTACAAAGGAAGTAATAATGCTTTTAAAACATATCCTTACCATGGAAAGGTGTTAATTCGTACCCTGTTCTTATAAATGAGTATGCCTCCTGACATTACTCCAATCCTAATTTCATTATTACTTTGATCCTATAAAAAGAACAAGAAAATTATGAATACTTATTCATTTCTTGTGTGAGATATTACAACTTTTATCATCTGTAAAGAAGCAATAAGTCTTCCTTGATGAGGCTCTAATGTCAATTTTCATTAAGGAAAACATTTTTTGACTTAATATCATATTCTGGCTCTTTTGCTTTCCTCATACTCTCATTATCAATCAATGTCCTAAGGTTCTCCTGTATTTCCCCCCAATAAAGAACTATTCTATATCTATTTAAACACAATTCATTTTAAGGAACTACCATACAGAAGAAAATTAGAATCACAAAACTTGAAATAATATGGTATCCTGCTCTGTTATGAAAATACCTGTGTAAGAGGCCCTAGGGTTGCCAATGACAAGTGCCATGGTGCTGGTCTGGGACCGCTGAGGCCCCTAGGGGCGGCTGTGGCTTTGCACTCTACTGCAGGACCAGTGGTGGGTTCCAGATCCCAGTGCAACCAGTACGGTGCAACAGGGCCGGGCATCCACCACATGCACATGCGCAGAACACCCACGATGCTCCAGCTGCTTGGCGGAGCATCGCGCAGGTGCTGTATGTGCTATGTGTGTGCGCAGAAGCTCCGATCAGCTCAAATAAGGAGGGTGGGGGGCAGGTGGGCCCTCTGGAGCACCGTACCAGAATGGTACCTGGTGCTCCTAGCAGGCATTGGTACGCCCGTACCGGGGTGTACTGGTCGTATCCCACCACTGTGTAGGACCCTCACAACTCACACATAGCCTGCACCAGCATCGCAGAGTCTCCCCATTCGAAATACCCTGGCCCTGGGACTTGGAACTCTGTTCCTTTAATGACCATAAGTTTGTTCAATGACAGCAATTGGGAATATTGGGGTTGTGGTAATTGAGCAAGGAGGTCAGGTGATGTCTTGCTTAACAACCACTTCACTCAGTGACTAAGATTCTGTTCCCAATTGTGGTCAAAAACTAGCGGTAATATAACTGAACGTTCTGATTAAGCATGGCCATCTTTAAATGCCCTGAAACAGATACCATCAAAACATTGTGCTTTCTATAATAGGGAGTGGTTGCTAGACTTCTTCCAAAACTTGTTCTCCCTGGGCTTAAGAAAAATTCAATATTTAATTGATTAACCAGCAAATATATTGAATTCTTATAAGTAAGTTAATTACAGTGCAATTGTCCATTTCTGATTAAAAATCATGTGAAACATTGAACAAACAAGCTTGATTCTATCAAGAACTCTGAACTATAAGATCACATGTATTTCCTGATTCTTTAAGCTCTTTATTACTGTAGGTAAGAATTGCCTCTATGAAAGAGGACAAAGTTTATGATACCTTAATCTTAAAGGCAGTCATTTATTCTTTGTGTTAAGACTTCAGAAGCTGATACTCGCTTCTTATATTACATGACAAAGTATTTATTTTGTCTTACTTACTTAAATGGAATGGGGGGAGGCAATGGGAAAGGGGAGGAGAAAAAATAATATCTTGGTGATTGTTAACTGCTGCAGTTGAGATTTTGAAGTGGACATATACATCAATTCAAACACAACAAACGCTCAATATATGCCTAATTTCTTCTCTTTTATTGGGCTAAAAAGTATGTGTTAGCAATGGATTGTATGCTCAGCTGAGCACTACTATTAAGAAAATTAATATGGTTTTTCCATATTCACATCATGCAAAGAAGAGGAAGAAAGGAAACAACTCAAAACTCAGCACCCAATGGCTACTTCCAGCTACTACTTACTTGCTACTGCAAATTTTCCTTCTTTTTAATAAGTTATGAATTTAAATTGTTATAAGGTGCCTCATGAAAATTAAGAGAATCAAGTTATTTTCCATCAATACAATTTTTTAAGCACACCATGTGCAAACAACATCTTTGAATGCAATTTAGAAGCAGTTAATATTTATTCATATGTAAAGATGGACCAAATTGCAGCCTTTAAAAATATTAACTATATTACAAGCCAGGTTTGTGATTAAGAATTTTTATTAAAAGCTTCAAATGCATGGGTTATGTAAAACAAAACATAATTGAATTAAATTTTGAATACATAACTTTATACACTTTAATTCATGTTCATTTACTCTGAATACATAAATATATTTAAAATTGATAATTCATACAAAACAAGTTTATAGACGATACCCACTAAAACATTAGCAATTAATTCAAACCTACCCTTGCATAGTGCAGTTCAACTCCGTAGAGTTCTAAGGTTCGGGCAGTACTGAGATAACTGAATTCTGCTTCAGCTGGAGACAAACCTCTATATGGAGGCAAAAATAAGCAAACATTAAATTCTTTTAAAATGCTTGTAAAATCTAAGCCCTTGGCTACAAACAAAACTTTCTGCCTGAAATATGGAAGAATGCACTTTCAGTGTTGCACAGAATTGGTTGATTGCAAAAGCGTATTTTTGCATACCTTATTTAATAGACCCTGTTAGCAGGAACTCAACATAAATATAGTTATCAAAAAAGACAAGGGCATGCTCTTTCAAAAGATCTCTTTTTTATGGATCTGCAATTATAGGTTTACTTTAAATGCTTTATTTCTTCATAAGAAGTGAATAGCACACTATGGAAAAAGCTAGGTCATAATTCAGACGGCTACTTTTGATCTGCACACACCTAATAGTTCTGCAGGTAGAGAATCAGTCATATCATTTTTTTATTATTATAACTTTATATTTTTGTCATGCTTACATATGTTGCTGATGTAGTTTGGATATTTCTTTTTCGAAGTCTTGAGGCTGGCCAGGGATGAAAGAGTAATCTGAGAGGTAGCCCGGGAAGTTATCCGTAAGGTTGTAGTCTCCCAGTTCAGCTGAAAGTTAAAATAAGCTATTTATATAACAGCAACCCTGTTTCAACAACTTGTAGAACAAACAGAAGATATGGAAATAAAAACAGTTTATCTTTTCAGATCTTGGCATCTTTGAATGTAAAGATGAACATACATGAATCATTTCTTGAATATTAGTGCCAGAAAGACTTCAACCATTTGGTGCAAGTTTGCTTGAAAGCAAGTCCTATGAATTCCATATGAATAGCCCTCAAAATATTTTTCATTGAATCACATATATAATTTGATTTGAATTACTTGATATAGATCAGTTATCTAGATCCATTCCAGTCAGGCTTCAGGCCTGGCTACAGCACGGAAACCGCTTTGGTCGCATTGATCGATGATCTCTGGAGAGCCAGGGATGGAGGTCATGCCTCCATCCTAGTACTCCTTGACCTCTCTGCGGCTTTCGATACCATCGACCATGGTATCCTTCTGCGACGACTGCGGGAGGTGGGGGTGGGAGGCACTGTCTTACGGTGGTTCTCCTCTTACCTCTCGGACAGGTCGCAGTCGGTGTTGGTCGGAGGGCAGAGATC